CGATCTTTTTTAGGACCATCGGCGGTATAAACACATGCCTTGTTGGTATCGCCGCACAGCCATAATTTTCTCCAACCATATGGAATTCCAGCTCAAATATTTAAAGCCAGCGTCTCCTAAAGTATTCAAAAAGGTTCTCGAAAATTTTCAAAATCTTGCTTTGGAGTTTTTCTGGCTCCACGCCAGCGGCGTAATGTCGCGCGGAAGTGCCGCGTTACTGTAACTCGGCTCAAAGCCCCAACTGAAAATTCGATCAAATGTTTGAAATCAGTTATTTTATACTTGCCAGTTTGTTCAAACTTCGCAGGATCTTTTGTCCTGGCACATTTTTACATTATGCGAAATTCATGACGACATGAATGGCATTTCGTCGGAAAGGCCAAAAAAAGGCTTAACTTTCTTCACGCTTCCTATCGAACTAATGTTGATGTTCGAAACAAGCGAGTTCCAAGCTATTTGAGAATATGCTCAGAGTCTGCAAACAAATTCTTTCATTTTTCAGATTTTTTTTGGTTTCTCATAGTGCCCTTATCAATCACCTGACTTTGACCATAGCTGTAGTGTCACGAAAGTGTTGTTGAAACGTAGAATTTGTGAGAATCATGTACGGCTTACCTACCTCACTGTATCGGTCTCTATCATAATATTATCACATTGATAATATTATGGTAAACCGATACTGAGGTCAATACGGCTGGTCAGAGTCAGCCTGACCATAGCCGTTAGTTTCGGAACCAAAATCTCACTATATGGTGAGATTTTGGTTCCGAAACTCCTCCTCTTGTCTTTGTTATAGCCCAAAATCGCATCAGCAGCCAAGCTTTCTAAGGTGGAAAGCGCGCCCCAGTCAATCGATACGCGCGGGAACGGCGTCTCTCAGTCCTATGATTGCGTTACTTTGATATTTTTTCATTCCTTCGTCATTTTTCTTGCTTATTCCTCTTTCTGTTTTCTATGTTGATACAGGTGAGGAGTAATTAGAGGAATTTGAGCATTTTAGGCGCTTTTGAGTGCTTTTATAGGCGAATTGTGGCCGGTGCTCTCGTCTCACAAGCACAAAGCGTCATTTTTGGGCTCAAGGGGGTAGTAAAAACTATTAGAATCAAAGGGAATTCGTTTTGGAAAACCCCGTTTGCCCTCCTCATGCCGGGCCCTGAACTTTCTTCACCCTTTCCCTATCGAATTATAATGTTGATTTTCGAGACAGCAAGTTCCAAGCTTTCTGAGGGTATGCTCAAGTCTTCTTCAGTATCTTATAGTGCCTTAATCAACTACGGCTATGGTCAGGCTGACTCTGACCAGCCGTATTGACCTCAATATCGGTTTACGATAATATTATCAATGTGATAATATTATGATAGACCGATACAGTGAGGTAGGTAAGCCGTACATAACTCTCACAAACGCTACGTTTCAACAACACTTTCATGACACTACAGCTATGGTATTCTGTAGGTGTCTCTTTTGTTAGAGTTTTGAGGCTTCCTTGGGAACTACTGATGAGGGGCACCAAGAAAGCTGCAATACCGGTATAATTCTTAGCACCGAAACCGGATAGTGTTAAATTAGAAACAAAACATTGTACTGAACTTCTTGGATGTTATTATTGATTTACCGCTAAACTTTCACATTTTTCAATTTAGTTTAAAAAAAGTAAAATTTTCTAATCTTTGGCTAAAACGTAAGTTATGTGATACTGTCGCAATGACCAAACTCATGGATGCCGTTGGTATCTCAACATGATGAAGCATGTTGCGATACTGGCATTTTCTCCTTCTAAAAGAGCATACTATTTTCTGCGCTGACCTGCCAGCGCAGAAAATCACCCTACGAATTTCGACAACTAACTATCACCCTACGAATTTCGACAAAGTTCCAGCAAACTGTCTTTACATTACAGTGCGAAAAGCAGCATTTAAATTGACTTTCACTACTATACGTGAAGTAGAAGAATATCTGTAATTAAGAGTAGAAAGCTTTTTCAACACCAACATGTTGAAAAAGCATGTTTCACAGAAATAAGCATCGTTTCTCCTCGAGGAGTGTTTTCAAAAGGGATGCGGCTATTAAGTGCAAAAAGGTTATAACTTTGAAGGTGCCGACACTCTCGTTGGTCTGATAACGGTTCCCCCCCCCTCTCTTTCCAAATATGAACTCGGCGATATGACTAAATTCTTATTATGGGTTACCGGCTGGTTCCTACTTCGGCTTTACTGCATGTCAGTCTCAGTCTAGTATGACATTTGTTCTTCTCGGCATCTGTTGTATCGCATTCATTTAACTTGAAATGATTCACTCAGATGATAATGAGCTTCATAAAAAGACGCTTTCGTACGACCGTTTTGACGTCCATTTCGACCGTTTTGCCAGCACTAATGATTTAGCCATTTCGAAACGTGCTGTCGGGATGGGTTTTTTAAATTTGGATGAATGGTGATTTTGGTGTTGCTCTCGGCTCATCGCCTTCCCCCTTCGCAAACGAGTTTTTTTAGTGGCTTTAATCGAATTCAAGTTTAGACTGACACTTAGTGGTCGAGGAAAGAGTCACAGAATTTACCAAAGTCACAGAAATCACGAAAGAAACAAAAATTGTACTTCATGTTAAAACCAACATAATCGTGTTTTTTGAAATGAGGTGGAACAGTGCACGTAAGTCGCCGTGATGGCGGACCCACAAAGTTTTCCAACAGAAATCACTCCCGCGCATATGTACCCTTTCAAATTTTTCCCGAGTCGGAAACACCATTATTACCTGGATAACTATGAGGTTTTCATAAAAGTTTGTGGCAAAGCGCGAAGATATTCTAGTAATTTACTGGTTGTAAGCAGCGCAAGGCAAATCTTGTAAGTCTTCTTTAACGGTTCGAAAGGCACTAATTTCATGGAGCTTCGATCTATTGGCTGTGCATAGGGCAGAATCCGCAGTGGATGGTAAGGCAAATCGATGGCAGTTTCTTCTTGAAACATTCGGTTGTTCGGTCGGTATATAAGGCCCATGCTTGTTCTTTTGCAAAAAACGCAAGCTGTAGCTGTTCTTAAGTCATTTTTCTTTTAAATATTGGTTTGTAGTGGTTCGTTAGGCAGCGGCCCAAAGGGCGGTTCTTTTCAAAAATCGGTCTATGGGTGTAGGACACCTTTTTGATATCGGTTTATAGGGGGTGCTAGTGTAGTTACAACTGCAAATTCGTTCTATAAGAGGCACACAGAACAACTATATTCTGATAAAGAATGATGGATATGTAAGCGGTCTCAGATCAGGGGCGCTATGTATCAATCTCAGGATCGTGTGCTGGTTCAAGATCTGGCAATTACACGATCTTGAACCAGCACACGATCTACCGAGGCGCCCGCGATGTATCAATGTGTGCGCAAGATCGTGTAATTACACGATGTGCGGTGTCCGTGTGCGCCAGGAACCCGAACTGGCGCATATCGTGTGTGCATGCTGGCGTCAAAGCCAAGTGACGCTGCACAATCATTTCGCTTCATTTTCTTATGCTTAGCACCTATCGCGGCATCAATTCCGCCTATTTTTTCTTGTGTCGCCCCTGATAGCTTGTTTGCTAAAATTTTCTATAAATTGTAAGCTTCTAGTATGTAGAATTTCAAGCGAATTCAATCTTTGTGTTAACTTTGGCTAGTTCCTTACTTCGATGCACCGTCGATTCATTCACCTAATATGCGCATCTATAGTCTGTATTATTCTCAACATTTAGAGCGCATTGTGATCTGTGCCAACGCTTTCGATAGTGATTTGACGACTGAGTGTATACTGGATGACACAGATTAGCACTATTCTGCGAGGATCCTTTTTTCCTTGCGCTCTCTTTGCTGGCTCAAGGGTTTTGCTCTATAGTTGCATGATCTTATCGCTTGCAGTGTGAATACTCCATGCCTAGAAAGTGCCCTACGCTCAGCGCCCTTTGCAGTATTTGCAGATGTCGGTAGTTTGCTCGATGTCTCTTATGTACTGTGATATCACTTGATTCTATCTTACGAGAGCTGGTCCTCATCCTTTTTGGAAGTGTATAAGTGGCGGAATGCGCAGGATGTATAGTTATCAAACAGTTATAGTTACCAACACATGAGAAATTTCGCTGGTTGGGGGCCAGTTTTCGTTCATTGCTATAGTGACTTTTATACATTTTTGGTACCTTGAACTGCTGACTCTTGTATCTTTGATTTTTGAGTTCCCGTTACTTTGTCTGTCTGGCTTTCACACATCATTTTTTAGGCATGCGCTTTCCTAGCCATTAGGAAATTTATGGCTTTGGTATAGAACCTAACCACCCACGGCCGATGATGCCTAGTGTTGAGAGCGAAGAGAGGTATGGTATTTGGTTTGACAAATTTTTACGTTGATATAGTGTTCTTGCGTTTGCGCTTTATCCGTTTATTCCTTCTACTTTTTTTGGCCGTTACATCATGCTGTCGGCATTATTAGTTGAGTAATTATTTCGCTCAACTATCCCGCCATGTGGGCATATGTCAGGGTCACACTTCGCCGGAAAAACCCCAAAAGCGCCCAAAAAAGCCTAAAAGCGCCAGTAAGAGCCGGAACGCGGAACCGAAGTTCTGGTAGAATTCTGACCTTATTTCAATCTGCAGACGACAGAAAATGAACCAAAAAGACTAGGTTATGAAATCAACACACGTGCCTGAGCGACAAAATGTGCGCGCGGAAGTGGATGTTCTAGCTTTTCCTGGCGCTTTTGGGCTTTTCAGGCTCTGTTGGGTTTTCTGCTTTTTTGGGCGCTTCTGGGCTTTTCTCGGCGAAGTATGACGGGTCCCTAAGAGTTGTTAGACTGTGAGTATAGGCGAATCATCGCATGCAAAGACAGGGCTCACTGCGGACGCTGCCGGTGTCTCGCTGATCGAGCGTTCTTTCATCTCTTTTGCCTTTTGCTGTCTCGCCAATACAAGAACTACCTTAGTCGATGCAACGGCCTCTAGTCTGTGCGTGCGAATGCCTATACTTCCTATGGTGTCTCTATGCACTCATGGTTTTCGCTTTAGGAAGTGCATCACTGCCTTCCGTTGCGATCGCTTTTCATTTTCTCAATCATTTTCTACAGATTGAGCATGTATATGACAACGATTTCTGCCGACTCCAAAGAGTAGTTGTACTATGCGCAGCGCAAAGCAAGAAACGTAGAGACGCATCTTACCAAGGGTTGAACTGCCGTTAGTCATTATATTTCAGGTGAAATCGACCGGCCATCGGAACAGTGCTTAATATGTATCGAAAAATATGCTCGTCATAATGATGGCAGCAGAGACATGGCAAAATTCGGACAAGGTATGTATGATTCTAGTACCGTTGATTACATGTTGTCTTTCATCAGTTATATCCACTACAATCTGAATTTTCAATTTTGGAGGGAATAATCTGCAAGATTGTGATAGTGAACTTCAACATTTGCTTTCGAGTTCTTATGAAACATAGAGATTGTGAAAACCAATTTTTATCACCACGTTTGTTTCGAAAATCATGGCATTTTCAAAACTATTTAATTCTGCTCTAGGGATTCCTCACTTGGTACAACGTGGAACGCCTCATCAAACAACAAACAACTGTTTCGACATGAAGCAGTTTTGCCAAAGGAAGTTGGATCACTGACACTTTCAGTGATGGATAGAAGCTGGATCTCATATTTTACGAGTTATGATATCTGTACAGTATCTGTGAACACACTGAGTTTAACTCAACCGTTGTAAATGCATTTTTCACAATATCTCAGGACGTTCTTCAGCCTGTGTGAGCTGAGACATAATCAGGAAACTTGCCTGCTTTCGATTAATTATTGCGTTCATTGCAACTTCACAGCAGCTGAAGACGTGTTGATAAGTAATCTCTTGGACCATGTTAAGCTACTGTCCTTATCCCATCATTAGACCGTTTCATTATTGAATCGATAAAAAGCATGAAGATACTTTGAAGCACCCCTATGCACATAATTATTTACGATCTTCTAGGTGTGTGTGTGTGAATGACGTAGTTAACAGCTGGCTATATCAGTGAATGCTGAATTTTCTTTTCACTAACACATCTATGCAGCTTTCTGTACTATCGTCGGCATGCTTAAAAGACTTGAACATTCGAAGTTTTGTTTCAAAAACATGCAAAATCAGAGAGGGCGATTATGCTTACAGTAAGGCCTCGGGCAGAGTTCACGCGATTTGATAGTCGCGATTCAGTTGCTAAAGACAAGTGTTACGAGTTCATTGCATGCCAATCTTCTTGCTTTCGGTTGTGATAGTTTTCCAACAAGACTGATCGTGACTAACTATCGCAACCGAATTGCAAGAAGATCAGCATGCAATGAACTCGCAACACTTGTCTTGTAGCGAATGAATTGCGACGATCAAATCGCGTGAACTCTGTCCGAACCTAAGGCTCAGCTTCAAGGTGAAAATGAAAGTAAGCCTAATTGCCAATGAAAATGCAGCTTCCAGCGCAGAATTTGAAATAAAACAATGCAAAAACAATTCAATGCAGATAGCGCAAGCTGGGTAGATAGTAGCTGCCACCGAACAAACGTGTTCTCATGAAAATGTCATATGTACAGTAAGCCAAGGTAATGTTTTCACTTGAAAGCTGGCAAATACTCGTTTACACGAAAGTCAGCACGCTCATGCGAAGAAATGATTTGTGGATAAAAGGTATTAAGACGATTTGGTCGATTTGCAACTTTGGGAGAGTGAAAAAGGCGTGCAAAGACATTGGCCGTGATTTAACACAGCCATTTTTACACGTCACATGTGTAGCAGCGACAGATCGTGCGCTGCTACACGATCTTGTGGCAAGATCGTGTGCTTCATACATCGCGAGATCGTGTGCTCGCACCTGATCTTGGGCATGTTTTCAACGCTAGCGAGCACACGATCTCACGATCGTGTGATTGATACATAGCGCCCCAGGTTTCCCTTGGTATCGGATTGTGGAAGCAAACAGATTAGTATTTTTGCAATAATTACTGGTTTGTAAGCAGCCCACAGGACAGTGCTTCCCTCAATAAGTGCAAGTGGCCAACGACGCTTTTTTGGGAGGGGGGAAGGAGGAAGGGAGGAAGGCAGTCACGCAAGATACCGAACTATGAGCGGTACACAGAGTTATCTTTTTTGAACATCGGTTTGTAGGCGGTTCTTAGTGCAGTATTCTTTTTCGCAGTAAACATCCTCAAAACGACCTACAGGACAGTCCTTTTTTTATAATATTAGTCTGGCCCAGGGCGTACTTTACCCTAAGGTATGATTTGTAAGCTACTTGTAGGCAGTACTTTCCATTTATGGGCACAGATCTGTATGCTACTTTCATTAGTTACTAGTTGGCATATCCGGCTCCGCCCGGGCCTGTCATTATTATATTCGTAATCAGCATGCTCGATTACCCCCCTATGCCAACTCCCAGCCCTGTAGCTCAAATTTTGCAAAAAATCGATAAAATCGATATCGATCGATAACGAAAAGTAGCCTATGACACGCTCCCTGCCCCGAAGTATATGTGTGCCAGTTTGGTCCAAATCGGTTCAGAAATAAAAATTTCTATTCCGCACATACGTACAGACATACAGACAGACAGACAGACATTCAGCTTTATATATAAGATAAGCTCGTAATTTGAGTGACTATTCTTTTGCATTCAAATGAATTTGCCTTAACCAGCTGTAAGCGGCCCTTAGGGTCGCTGGTCTTTCTATCATAAGTAGTTGTTATATCCGTTGTGATATCTCATCAACATTGCTCTCAAACATTTCCTTCGCATTCCCACGTTTTAAAACAAGTGTAGTAATGTTCCTTCACCGGCATCTGGAGCATGCGCAAACCCAGCGGTCACGCAATTCACATGTCCGGTTCCACACCTCCAAAAACAGTGATATCTGCTATCGCTATATTGCAACATTTTATCATGAGCATAAGCGTACCTGGGATAAGCAAGATGCAATGCATGCTGCCTTACATTTTGTAGGATCTTTCATATCACATGTGACAGCCTGTGTGCCTGTCACTATACAAATAAGATGACAAAGTACAGGAATCTCATTTCTGTAAGTACGAAATTTAGTAATCATGTTGTTATATATGGTAAGTTACAATAATGCTCAGATATTTCGCAAAAATTCGCTCTTCACTGCACCGCTGTAACTTACAACAAATCTTAAACTGAAAGCAAGATTTTCATTCATCCTAACTTATCATATCTCACTGCAGTGAGCTGCTGTCTCTACACGACTACAGTAGCATTTTCGGCTAAATATGATAGCTATTCACATGTACACCATAAACATTAAAAAATTTGTTATTCGAAATATGACGGTTTCTATAATTTGCAAGTATCACGAATAGGAACGACGAGCAATGAAGAGACAAGTTTTGCGTCCTTAAAAATTGAAAAAAGGCACAAAGTATTGTATTGATTTCGCGGAGTTGCCGCAAAAAATGTGCGTCGCCTATCTATTAGGTTGTCCCGAAAGTTTTGTTCGTTTTTTTTTATGCTTATCAAAACTCACAGAATACCAATCCGTGGACGACGTATATACATTTAACCCAAAAATGTATGTATCCTCTTTCTTACTGCTGTATTTGCTCTCTGATCAACCCTGCTTTGTAATATCATCGGCATGGCTTTTCGAGCAGGACAGCAGTAACGCCAAATCTTTCATGAATTTCATAAATTTTTATTTGATGTTTTCGAAGAGGGTAACTACCATCCAAAACAAACCTTTGGCTACATTGTAATCGTTTTAGATTACTTGGATCACTTTACCAAGTTCGTTATAATTATTTATTTTATAAAAACAGCGGCTTTTTGATTACGTTTGCCTTAAAAGAGCAGCTTTTTGAGATCTCGGAACGTAAAAGTTCCGAGATCTCAAAAAGCTGCTCTTTTAAAACAAATCAAGCTTGATTATGTTGTATAAATAATGTTAAATAAGAATCATGTTTGAATTTGCAGAAAATTCGAAAGCTTTCACGTTTTGCTGCAGTTGCTTGTTCCATAATTTTGCCAAAAATCAAGACCTCCAAAGAAATAATTTTAGGCTAAAAACAGCAGATTAGGAAAACCTAAAAATAACATCTCTTAGCGATCGCTAAGAAGCTTGCTGTAAATAATTCTTATTGACACTGAACATATGATCTAATAATTATTTTTTTACATCACTGAAGAACACTACTTAGCTTTGGATAAAAGTATTGTCATCAAATCAACTATTCACTTCAGAAATCATATTATCAATCGCTAAGGAGCTTGCTGTAAATAATCCTCATTGACACTAAACATATGATCAATATTTATTTTTTGCCTACTGAAAAACAACACTTAGCTTTTCTGGATAAAAGTATTGTCATCAAATCAACGATTCACTTCAGAAATCATATTAGCAATCGCTAAGGAGCTTGCTGTAAATAATTCTTATTGACACTGAACATATGATCTAATAATTATTTTTTTTACATCACTGAAGAACACTACTTAGCTTTGGATAAAAGTATTGTCATCAAATCAACTATTCACTTCAGAAATCATATTATCAATCGCTAAGGAGCTTGCTGTAAATAATCCTCATTGACACTAAACATATGATCAATAATTATTTTTTGCCTACTGAAAAACAACACTTAGCTTTTCTGGATAAAAGTATTGTCATCAAATCAACGATTCACTTCAGAAATCATATTAGCAATCGCTAAGGAGCTTGCTGTAAATAATCCTCATTGACACCAAACGTATGATCAATAATTATTTTTTACATCACTGAAGAAATTACTTAGCTCCTCTGGATAAAAGTATTGTCATCAAATCAACGATTCACTTTAGAAATCATAATCGGCTAAAAATCTGGCTGAAAGACGTTGACGAAACATTTGCCATAACCAAATATTATATTTAGATGAAGATGAGCAGAAGTGAGTTTCGAATCATGAAGCACACAAAAAGCTTGCGATCTAATGGCCTTGAAGAAATGAAAGCTACGGATACAAAAGGAAGCTAGTACTTGCTTTTGTAAAGCAAAAAGCCAATTTACCGCCTCTGGTGTGAGTTCATTTCAAGCTCATGCACGATAATCATGGCACGGTCTTGTATATACATGTTTAGACATAAATTCGCAGCACGTTATAAAAAAGCCGCAAATTTTGGAGGGAAATAAATTTTGGGCGTTCATTGATCAAGCCTTAAGCTAAGTATTTGCATCCGCGATACTTTGTTTGGGAAACATACGATTTTTTTGACATCTAACTTTTCGGTAAAAAAATAGTCTTGAGCATCATTTTTACAAAAATTCAATTCGTTTTGAGCATTGCAAAATTTGATCGATGGCAATGCAACTGGGGTAACTCAATGATTGTTGTATGATTAAACAAAGACTTCCTCCACGTCGATTGGCAAAATGATTGAAAGCTCAGAAATTGTGGAATTGTCATTCGACACAGTTGGTCACAAACAACGGATACACTCTAGTCACAATTGCGGGATTGGTTCAAGGATTAACACATTTTTTGTTACAGTAACTGTTAAGAGATTTTCTTTATCTAAACCTCTAAAGCTGATTACATTAAGCGACTAAAAAAACTTGCGTATGACTGTTACAGGATTTTATTTACAAGTGTATAAAAGGAAACTGTGTCCGTGTCGTTGTCATACGCTCTACATTTTTCGCTTCAAATGTTGCTGGGCTTGCCCTCCACAAATATTCCTATTGAGGCCACAGGGGTATCTCTCAGTATAAGTCATTACACTCAACTTAAATAGCTCTATTTTGCAGCCGCTTTACAATGCCGAGAAAAGGTACTATGTGATAGGTGAAACAAAAATGTTGATATTTTCTTTTCTGGTATCTTAGTACAGCCTTTATTCAAAGAAGTGCACTATGTTATAAATTCCAGAATCAACAATAAATTTCTCTTTTTTTCACAATCCTAATGCTTCGCTTCTTGGCCAGCACAGAAGCACTCACGTGTGAACTTTACGATCCTTTAAGGAATTCAGGTTCGCTTCATGCAGAGTTGGGGTAAATGCTTCGAGAGCATGCAGATTGTAGCACGAAAGTTCTTGCATGTAATGCAAGAATTCTGACAAATGAGTGATTATTGAAACGACTTTCCCTTCAACTTCTCCTCTTTGCTAGATTCCGAAAAACAAACGGGTACCGGCTTTTGAGAAAAACGCGCTTTAGTCAAATAGCCTGCGCAGTTGGTGTGATCAAGGAGAGAATCGTGAAGTCAAAGCGGCGAAGGCGCAATCTCTTTCAGAGTATTTGCCACCTTCGTCCCGGCCCTAGTTCACATTTCTGGCAGCCCTACGAATTCTATTCGTAAACTTCTATCACTGCTGTGTCTGCAAGTTAGAAAGTACCTTAAATGCTTTTGTAAAGCGCATTATTATCTTTTTCAACGAGTTCAAAATTTTAGAGATGCAAATGCTTCGGAATGTAACAAGCTACAAATTTTTAAAAATGGTGCTAACAAATCTTCGAGCCAACCTAATATTTTCACGGAAGCCTTTTCATGCGAACATCGGACTATCATACTACGCTTGGCATGTACATTCCACTTCAAATGTTTCTGCAACTCACAGTATTTTCCGTGAATTGAAGAAAAGGCAGACGTAGGTATCATACGTGTGAAACAAAATGCTGTAGATCTTACCAAGGGATCCGCATCTTGAGAATATTCGCTATTGCAGTACAAAGGGAGTCATTTAGTCAAAAGATGTCAATGCTCATGAATATTGAATCAGTTGAAATGTTTTTTATTCACTTTCGCCCTTTCACAGTACACTTCAACCATTCTTGTTCTAGTCCCCCCCCCCCTGGTATACGTTAAGCGGAGCATTTGCAGACATCTGAACCCGTTGATAAACTTATTCACCCTCTACTAAAGTTGCTTTCTGTAATCTCTCGCTACGAACCCTGTCACTTATGACAACAGATATATACGTGGCAATTTAGAGAGTACAAAGAACTATGTTTTGTAGTAAAGTTTTAATGAGTCACAAACGCCTTCGGATGTCTGCAGACTCTCCGCTCAAGGTACATAGGGGAAGGCAACGATACTAGGGGCGGTATTTATCAATCTCCCATTTAGAAAGGGAATTCTTGTACAGGTAACAGCCCGTACAAACACAGCACTGGCGCTTTCGATACACGAAGCCAAGAGCTGGTGTCGGGCTCCTGTCTGTTGGCGAATATGGTCCGATCTGGCAAGTGGAGATTGATAAAAAAAATCATTCAAATCTATAAAATTACTGGAGCTCTGATGCACGGTGTGCTATGAGATCCAACTTGGAAGTGCATACTAGCAAGATATTTAGTGTACTAAATCCAAGGGATGATCACATTCCCTGGAGACACAGTATGTGCCTTTGAACAACTAATTCCTGAGAATGTGGCGCTATATGTTTGCCAGATTTGGACCTTTGAACGCTTATAATCTTTTTCATAGGCCGGCATCGCGATAAGAAGGTAGATCTGGATCAAGCAAAACTTTTGTGTACTGCTTTCAGCAACTCTTCTGATAGAGGAATCTCGATTGAAAAGATTACGACAATATTATAAACTCCTCAACCTTCAATTATTATCTGATCATCCTCCTTTTCATTTCGTTCAATTCCTCCTTCTGTGCATAAGCATGTCCATGTAAACTTGAAATGAAGTTGCCAAGGTCTGCTGTAGCTTAAAAATAACTCAATTAATAGTCTATAGCTTTGCAGAGTCAATAAAAATTTCAGCAACCGAGAACTTTTGGATAGTTCATGATAAAACGCAAACTTTGTTTGCTTCTTCTCTGAAAAGGCGATTACCGATATTTTTTGTTTCTCTGAAAAGGCGATTACCGATATTTTTTGTTTCAGAGAAAGAAACTGATGAATTTACAGTTGAACAAGCGAAATAGTTGATGACAGAGTTGTGCATATTGTGCACAACTTTATGAGGTTTTGTTTTTGACATAATTTGCGACATTATCTCTTATAAATGCCTAGGAATTATTAGGTTGTCCGGAAATTAATGCAGGTTTTGAATTCCAACCGCAGTAAGTCATATACTTCTCATTCCTGAATAGATTGCAAGTATCATTCGATAGAGCAAAGCAAGTTCTACAAGAAGGAGATTTTGCTTTTACAAGAGGTTTTATCCACCTCGAGTTCCGAGTCGAAAACTAAAAAGATCCAATTGCTTAAAAAAGTGAGAAAAAATCGTAACTCAGTTCAAAAAATCCTGTAAAACCTGTGACTTGCTCATGTAAACTCCACATAAGACGTCTATATGCGCCCTTACCGCACTTTTTTCTCCGTTAAAAATCAAGAAAACGAAAAATTTCGTACATTCGCCAAAGTGGTGCTGTGCCGTCCCCACATAATTAGTTGTATACTAAAAATCTGTAGAAGTATGAACGTGCCATGCCGGGCATGGCAGTCTCTCGAGATCGGGTTCTGCTGCCCGACATGGCCAAACTTGCCAGATCGGACAACGTTTTGAAGTTTGGTGAATCATGGGAGATCCCTCGCCTGTTCGGGCACTCGTTAATAGCCCGAACTGCGAGTTCGTAAGTTTTCAGCTCTTTACCAGCTTTGAGAAATATCTTGAGAAATATCGAATATAGCTTTTGTTTTTCTGCCAAATTATGTCAAAGACGTTTCGTTGTTCGTCGTTTCATTAAACGCTCGATGTACCGTTTACTTTCTCACAATATTATTTTCCAGAGACTTTACGTCAGTTCGACAAGAATGAGAATTTTCAAACTTACCTTCTTGCTACTTACCATCTTAGTGGTAGGTTGACCAAGCAAAACATGACTTAGTTTGCGATATTACTCCTTAGACTTACTGACTGTACATTACTTTGATGCTTACAGATTCTCTCTGCTGTGGACGTTGGTGAATGCGGAAAATTCAAAAACTTTTTCAAAAAAATTGGAAAGGGTTTCAAAAAAGTTGGAAAAGCAGTCGTAAAAGGGGTCAAGGCGATTCCGGGGATCCTTGGAGGAGTGAAGGAAGTTCAAGATAATGTGTTGGATATTAAAAATAAATGGAAAGAAATTAGAGGAAATTGATATTTTGTGCTCGATTGTCGATAAATCTTGGTAGTGTGATTCAAGTTGTAATACAGTTTAAGCTGCCGACCAAAGTTGGTAGGAAGACTTTATTGCGCGATAAGCCAACGTTGGTGGTTCGTCCGCCGTCATCAGGGCCGGTAGTAATCTACCCTACCTGGTGGCATCAAAGATGCCGGCAAGTTGGCACACATCGCGGAAAGATGCCAACTCCGCCGGCAGCTCGCGAAGTGATTGTAGGATTTAATAATCTTATGTAATCTTAGCACGCAATCATTTCGCACACTAAATTTCGATGACGCAGACAGCCGCAAAACTGCTACCTCGCGCGCGGTCGAACCTATGTGCGTTAACTTGAAGTGCCACCACGTTAACCATTCGACCATTCGGTCAGCCATTGCGGTTTGCACCAGCAATAGGAGGAACGCGCTGGGAAATGGCTGCCTGTAAGAGGGATCGATACATTGCGTGAGAGACTTTGACCTGAAAGAACAGCTGATTGATATGAGCGAGAGAGGGGCGAAATCGGTGCAAACGAGATTTATAAAGGATTGCCAAACAAGATGATGTTCTTTATGATTCTAAGGCATTACTGGATTTTTTCTCTGTAAGAAAATTGTTGTTTTAAAAAAGAAAAACTCGTATAATGAAAAAATGATAGCTTTTTGATGGAGAGTAGAATTTTTGATTTTTTCGCCTCACGTAAATTATATGATATCGCCGCAATTCGCAAAGTCGCAGACGCCGTCGGCAAAGGTGCCACCACCTCGACGTGGTAGGGGCACGTCGAGATGCCGGCAGCTCCCTCTCTCAAAAGAACACGCCATTTCCCGTGCTCTCTGACCTGCCGGCAGCTGCCATCTCGCGGATTTCGACGAGCTGCCGGCAGGTTGCCGGCAACTTACATCGCGAAGTTGCCGGCAGCTCCTTCTGTGCTTCCAGATATTTTCTCACAGGAGGATTTCTAGAACCGCAGATTTCTATGGAGTTTTCTACAGAGTCTAGGCGGCATATTTATTGAGAAAATTTTTTGGAAATAGGCCTAGGAACGTCTAAATTTGGGGTTTCACTTTCTGGCCACCTCACGGAAAAGTTGCCAGCGACCTGCCAACGAGACCTGCCGCCAGGTCGGAGGGATTACTACCGGCCCAGGACTTCCTAAAAGATCGAGACTTTGAGAACTGCCCGCTTTGTTAGCCCGCAATGTTTTGCGGGCTAATAACTCGGATTCGTGCGACAAAATCGTAACAGTGACTTGCAAGTATCGTTCCCATGACATAACCTTCGATGTACACCCAAAGGTGTGGACATTTTGGATTTTCTAAGGCGTCAAAATGTCCTTTGATTCTTGTGCACAACGGTCTGCCGGTCTCTCTTATGTATTGGTCACCGCATTTCTGACAGGTTATGAAATATACATTCCAATTCCATGAAGTCTCCTGATTTTCAAGAGCTCAGATGAAACAATCGGCGGTCGTGCACATTCTGTCATACGCCCGATTGTGACGTAGTTTTTTTTTGAGATTAGAAGTAGGGATATCTTAACTGTGACGGAATCATCGAGGCCCACTTAAAACAAAGATTTTCTGATAGCTCTGCTAAAATTATCAGTTATGGAACACAGAACGGTACTTTCGTTGTCTGGTTTATCTCGATCGGCCTGCTTTCTTGTCTATAGGCATTGGCACAATTTTTACGAGATTGCCGTTAGAATACGCAATCTAGGGCGGTATTTATTAATCTTCTGTATAGGAAGGGGTTTCCCTACAGGTAGCAGTCCGTACAGGAGCGGGTACTAGCGCCTGCGATATATGAGGCCCAGCTGGTGACGGGGCTCCTGTCTTTTGAAGAACACGGCCCAATCTAGCAAGTTTGGCCATATCGGACACGGTAGTCGTCGGGCAGCAGTTCCCCATCTCGACGAGTCAGGCGGCGCTGCCCGTTTGGGCCGCGCTTCCCAGACTTTCGTAAATCGCAGGAAGGGCGCTCTCTCCTGTGCGGGCTCTCGTTAACAATGGCTCGCACAGCGAGTGGGAGATTGATAAATACCGCCCCTGTTTGGCAAGATTCATCGATGCATTGCGCTGTTCAACGTTAGATGAAACCGAAATTGTTGTCTTGAACATGTTGCCTACCGCGGACCGTCTTGTGCTCCAAGGTTCCACAAAGCGGTAGTGAATCAGTATACTCTTACTAGCCCGTTTGCGGAGCCAGTTAGTTACGTATGATCCGTAAGGCAAAGACATTAGACGTTTAGGAAAGCTAGCCAATTTTCGTCGGGTTTATCCCGCGTGAATCTTATGTTAGGAGGTTGGCTGATAAGAATGTCAAAGCACATGTCTATTTCACTTTGAGTTGGTCATATGATTCAGCGTATCCGTCAATGTATCCATAAAAGAGCAAGGGCTTGGAGCAAGTACGGGTTTCTAGATCTTTGACATGAAGGCGATTGCGATGACGGGAGTCAATCTTTGCCCTGTCGCTAGGCCACGTACCTGCTTGTAATACCTTCCTGATTAGCAAAATATGCTGCAATCCAAGCTTTTTTAAAAGTGTCATGATTTGTCACTGAACCCATGAATGTTAAGAGCAGATCAATGTTTCGAGAGTAGCTCATAAACCGCTTCCTTAGCATCCTCATTGAAGACATTTGTGTACAACAAGTGACATCTAAAGTCTCAATCGCACAATTTCGCTGACAAAAACATTCTAGTATTCGAAAGATGGGCAGGCACATACGTTAGTAATTGTGTCAGGATCAAGTTTAGTAACCATTTTGAGACTCTATCATTTGGGCCACCGCAGCTGCTTAAAATGGGTCTTACTTTGTAGTCTAAGGAATTTCCGAAAGAAAATCCTGACGCGAGTGGTTTGTGTGTTTTTATTAGTACGTAAAGAGCTGGACATTTGGGTAAATCGATCTTATGATACGATATCAAAGCTTTAGATAAGCCGATGGTGTTCGCTATATTTACCCACACTATGTTCAGGCACGGCTTTTGTATTGACCAATAACATCTGGGTTCTAATATTTATTGCTTGATGTGTACTGACCAAGTGTAAGGTTCGTCAAAGCACTGGATATCACGTGCCCCCTCCTCGTCCGCTAATCTTCCCTTTATACCGTCAACTGGGCCCTCCTTCCTTACATCGTGGGAATCATGACACTCCGGCGCCGCGCGTGCTTCGAAATTCGAAGACAAAATAGACTCCAAGCCTGGCAGAAAACTTTTCTAAACAAAAGCACGCAAACGTCTGTTTCTAATTGTGTGTGTTTGGTTTTATTCTGTTTGTGCAAAGACGTTTGCTGAATGCAACAATCTTTTCCTGTAGTTTTAAAGACTGAAACTATCCTTATATTCGTTTATCATGTTGGCACAAAATGCGGTTGAAACATCAAATGTATAAGGAGATTGTTGCTTTTCTGCGTCAACCTGTGGGTCTTTTTTTTTCTCTTGCGTCAAGCACTGTGCGCATTTGCTTTTGTTGTTTTTGCAGTTTGGGCTGTGCATTATTTCCTTTTGAAGCTTTGCAGTTTGTGCTTTGTGTTATTTCGCTTTGACGTTCTTGCAGTTTACAGTTTGCTATTGCACTTATTTTTAAGTAGGTTCAGAGGTAATTGTCGAAAAGGAAAAAAAATAAATAATTTGGTTTTCTCCTCCTTTTTTACATGTTAAATTGATATTGACAAAAAAACGGAATGTCATTTCCTTGTCATTTCCGATGCGTAGCTAATCCTATTAAGGTGTGCGATGCGCTCTGTACGCTCAGTCAATGTTGAATGTATCGTGCAGTCCTAGACCAATGGCGTTTACCGCAGAAAATGCCATTAGAAATAGGTAACCGCAGAGAGGTTACTTGTTCTTCACGTTGCTGTGGCGGTGGTGGTGGCGGTGGCGCTGCGGACGTCGACTGATAGTCGCATTTGTGCTGCGCTTTTGTTTATGGGGGCTGCCGATGACGCATTTTTCTATGTAATCGACGAGGTTCTCGACTTCGCCCTTTAAATTTGCAATGTTCTTTTGTTGTTGCTTTGTTTGCCTTCTTTTTTCTTGTTTTAGTTCTTCAGTTTCATATGAATGTTTACTCTTTCGTTAAATCTTCAAAATCTCTTTTTTTTTCTTTACACTCATTTCAAATGATTGAAATTGTTTGCTTAGCTGATGTAGTTTGAGTTCTTTTCTTAGCCCATGGATTCCTTGCTGCAATGCCGACATGGCTTGCTGAATGCAAATGACTGTCTGCCCAAGGGTTGAAACAGGTTCGCGGAATGAATTTTCCTAATTTTTTCGCTCTTTTGGGGTTTCCTCTCTAACCGGTCTTCTGTTTTCATGTCAAATTCGTGCATGTGTGCGTTTGGGTCTCTTCTTCAGCCATATCTAGAATTGTTTGATTAGTTGAGTGTATACAATGCTTTCATAATAGGATAATATATGAAGTTCAAACAGTGAATAAAAAATACGGATACAAAAAGTGGCATATGTAAGATCAAATGTGCCATGCGCATAAACAATCGTAATAATAGAAATGAAAGTTTGAGAGAGGCTGCATTGCAAAATGTGGACTATTTTTTTGGATATCCCGGCGATAAGCTTTGACATAAGCTTTCTTGCTTTCCTCGACACGCTGTGACTGTTACGATCAGCGCGATGATCAGGGTGAAAAAAAAATGGCCGTTGAGAATATGAAGTTTTGCTTCATAATTGAAAAGAATTCGGGTATATCTGGTAATTCCAGTTCGAAAGCGTTGAAAGCATCTGTGTTGGTATTACCTTGCAGAGCTTTTATATTATCGAATGGACGTATTCCTTCAATGAAAGGTGATTGGCCTGTGATTGAGAATATTTGCTGATTTGTGCCGCATTTTACTTGGCATTTTCCTTTGAATATGGCTTTATTGGCGTAAAAATGTATCTCATTTGTATATCCTGTTGGTGTACAAATCATGCAATTTCAGTACTTGCTTCTAGTGTCCGTATTGTTAGTCTATCGTATTTACCTTCGCATTTAT